TACTTTCTATGTGTTTCTTTTATTTAGCGTTATAGTTCATTTTCTTTTTATTCTGCATTTTATTCTAGGTTATCTGTATTTTGTATCTTATTTTTATCCTGCGTTTCCAGTTTCGTTTATTTTCATTATTTTATTTTTACATTTTTATTTTTTTTTATCTTCATTTACTTTGTTCTGTTAATTTGTAGTGTATGTGAAAATGCGCCAGGCTTTCTTTGTTATTTCATTGCGCATACATACCACCAGTGTATACTCGCCATGTACATATGAGTGCATGACGTTGTGCACAATACATCTGCGAGCGTAATGTCGCCGGCACTGTAATTTTTACTCCGCGGTTTGAGTAGACTTCGGGCAAGAAATTCTCCCAGTTCTGGAATTTTCTATAACCGTACTACCTTACCGTTCACTATGGGCAGTTTTGTCTGTGTCCTCTGTATCACACCTGGGGAGAGATATTCCCGAAGAAAACATTTATTGTCCAAATAAACTCCTTTTATCTGCAGAACTCAATCGAGCTACAGCAGCACAGCAATAGATCAGAATCGATAAATAATATTATACAATATTTCTTTACTAAGTAATGAAGATAATTGTAGACACCGCGATGCGTAGAATAATATAAGACAATAAAAACGATGTGATAAATTGACAGAACGAACGTGGAAAATTTTTAATGATTATACGTAAACATCATTTCACGAATAAGAATTGAGTAATATTTCAGTTTTCAATATTAGATGATATTTATGTACAATATTATTGTAATCATCGTGTACCCTGTGATACGTGGAAAAATATAATATAATAAATTCGATATGATATATTGACAGAAAGAAAGTGAAAAATTTTGATAAGTAATATGAAAATCTCACTTGACGTACAAGGAATCCCTAACTTCTGATATCGTTAAATAAAATTAGATAATATTTAACTGGCGTCATTTGTGATTATTGCCATGCGCAGTATAGTATACGACGTTAAAATTGTTGTGATATGTTGAGAGGATGAATGCGGTAAATTTTGATTGGACATATGTGAACGTCATTCCACGTACCGAAATTCCATAAAACTTCAGGCTCGATAAATAGTATTTGGTGATATTTGTGTAAAAAAACAGACGTTGTTCATCGTGAACTCCGCGATGCGTAGAACAATAAGACAATAAAGACGACATGACATACTGACAAAATGAGTGTGAAAAATTTTGAATGGCACTCAAAATAATGGCAATAAACCTCATTCCACGTAACGGAATTCCGTAATATTTCATGCTTGGTAAATAACATTAGATGATATTTTTGTATCAAAGTATGGAGTTCATATTGAAAGCCGTGATGCGCATAATATAAAAAGATAAATGCAACATGATATATAGACAGTATGAATGTTGAAAATTTTGGATAGACATATGTACACCTCATTCCACGTATCGGAACGCCGTCAGAATT